AAAGAAAGACCTGCAATAGGCAGATTTAGCTTTTGCATAGTGTATGTTTAAGGTTGTACAATTTGTCGTTACTCGCTGTCCATTTACATCCTAAATAAATTCTTGGATTATCCTCTTCCAAGTTCTTTTTTTTAGAATTTAAGTTTAAACTTTAGCTTTGATATGAGAAGTTAAAAACAATTCGGGCTCAAGTTTCACAAAACATTCTCATACGTTAAAAAGATACATTATGTAAGATTTAGATAAAGAACTAGCCATTCGTGCTTTAATAGTTCAAACATAGATAATATAAATGAATAATTTGAAAATTTCATTCAAATTACTCTATTGCAAGCGAAGATATTAGCCTTTGAAGGTTTGACAGACGTGTGCAATAATTTCAACCACCGTACTGGTTGATCGAAGCTAAGTCTCGGTCCTCCATATTTGATTAAATCAAAGTATCGCTGAACCATTCTAATCTATTTAATATCGGAGAAATCTGATGCCATCGAGAGTTAATTAAGGCCTGGATCAGTTAATTAATGTCTAATTAATACTTTAGAAAACATTTCAGGCCTAAAGAATGACCTGCAATAGACAGATTTAGCTCTTGCATAATGCATGTTTTAAGTTAAAAATTAACTCAAAATTGTTCGCCTTATGTTAACTAAAATATAGCCCTTTATAAAACTTTTGTTATTTTCAACAATAAACTATGTGAATAGATAGGTCAAAAATATTTCTCATAAACAGTGATTGAAAGTTGAATAAATTCTTAATTTAAGTCTGTGAATGCTTTGTGAAATGGGAGTAATTTGATCTTTCACATAGATCTTTTAAAGGCTCAATACCACTCTTGTTGTAACTGAATAATATGTCCCAATCTTTATTCTGGTCAACAAATTGTACTATTTTACAGTATTCCAATTAATTGATGATACAAATTTCATCTTAACACACCTAATTTAAAAAACTGGAAAAATTCAACTAAATGATTTGAAAAGCCTTATGTAAACCTTTTCAATTGTAACTTGGATTTAAAAATATTTTCGAACTCTCTGGACAAGTAAAATAGGATGTAATGGATAATTTACACAACAGGTAGGACATTTAAACAACTAATACTTAGAATAAGACTATTATATTTATTTACTGGAGCTGTCAAGCCAGCAAGAGTGTTATTGTCCCTTTAACGTTAAAAGTATGTACTATTATAATGGCTTGTACAAACAATAACAAATATACTGTTATTTAATTCACCTAATACATAAAGACAATAGTTTCAAATCATGGCCATATATTTAATAAAAGTGTATTCGATTGTGTAAACCTTCCTCCAACATGTAAGAGCCTTAATAAAAATGGCCTCATTCCAAAAAGTATAAAAGAGTTATGCAAACGCAGCTTACCGGAGTTACCAAATGTTACCTGAAGTAAAATCGTAACCACATGTTACCAGAAGTTAAAGCATGAATAAATAGATTCGATACTCACCACCAAATGTGTTTTTGTTTAAAGTTAATTATATAATCATAAAAATGTATGACGTTTGAAGAATTTACGATATTTTAAATTACTTTTATTGTTACCAGCTTGCTGTCGATAAATTGATAATTTAAGATATCGCGTGCATATTTATGTTTGCCACTGACCACTGAATACAAACTCAAAATAAAACCTATGATTTACTCGCTTTTATTGTTCTGCAGCTTGCAGTAATGTTAATGAATGAATGATATTATTTCGATAATGTGTAGTTTATGTTCAGTGGTCGGAGATACTAATGAATATGCATGAGGAATTTACGGTATTTTAATTCACTTTGCATGGGATAAAATTGAGTTGTTGTTCACCATGGGGGTAAACAGTTATTTTATAATTTGGTAGGATAAAGTTGAATTATATAGTAGAAAACAGACATATTTGTTGTTATATATTTTACGTGTGGAGGTGTTCTCCCCCCCCCCCCGCCAAATATCGGTATGGCTACTCTCATTACGCTGTCGTCACGCTTTCGTTTCCACCACGACTTCGCTACGAGGATAGGGCGCATGCTCCACACCCATCCAGCTCTAATCCACGTTCCTACCATGACCCCACTACGACTCCCACTACGCTGCCAAAGATCTCGCCACATCCATGTCGCCCTCGGTCACGATCTATGAAGAATGCATAAAGGATTAAACAATATAATAAATCAACAAAAACAATGTCGACATGAAAAGTGAACACAGGTTATGCCCATTGCACGCTAGAGATTTTTGGCAAGCGGTTACCTGATAAGTTGCATCGATGTAGTTTTACAGTTAAGCCATTGGGGCGCTCTTTTACAATGATTACATTACAGTCATTAATATGGTTAAAACCACATCAGATATACACCTTCGTGTTCTAGGATACACATAGATTCACAAAAATGCTATGACACAACATTTCAGAGTCTAAAAGTATGAACAAAACGGTAAAATAATAACAATTGGATACGTGCCTTTTCCTATGAAAGCTGTTTCATACGTGCTGCCGTATCCGTGTGCCACGTCACGTATCCGAACTATACACAAATTGATGACGTCACAAACAAAATCGACACGGATACGTGATAAGCGCGAGGAATTTTCGCTTGCCAAAAGTCCCTATTATTGCGTATGAGAGTAACGTATGAGTTGCGTATGAAATCTGATAAAAACAACTAAAAAATGCTCTTGAGAATACAGACTTGTTCGTATGGGTAGCGTTTGGCCTGCATCTGACCAGGGTATGTCTAGCGTATAAACTGCGCATGCCCGGAGTACCTCTATCACGTGACAAAGTGTCTATTTAAGCGGCGACGTTGTAGCATTATTGCTTGTCTACCATATCACCCATGGTGGAAGTGGGTGTAAAAATCTAGGAACTAACGAACGAAGCATTATTGCACTAGCTAGACGCTGATTGTATGTTAAATACTTTACTCATTCGTCAAACACACGCCAAGATGTACGGTACACCTTCATGCCAGCGCATGACGAGCATACTTGACGTATGGGTAACATACTTCTACCGTAGCTCATGCATATTCAGCGTAAGCTGAGCGTATAAACCTAACGTCCGAATACGCACAAAATTATAAGCAAGCTTCATTTAACAAAAAGTTCTTCCTCGCCGTATATCAGTGTATGCGATCGTGCTAGAAACGGACACATCCTCTGATGAACGTAGACTCTACCGTATGACAGCGTACGCTAGCGTGTGAGTAATATTTTTTGAAACACTGGCTAAAGCCCTGTTCACACTTGGCCGCGATAAGCGTGCCGTTCTGGGCACGGTACCAGGCCGCGATAAATTTCAAGAAAATGACCCGTTTACATTACTCTAAAATAACCGGTCTCAGAACCGTGCCAAGCCAATCTAAATGTGGAACTCTTCACAGAAAAGTTAATTTCAATCCCTATACAAATTACCCAGATGAAAACATTTATGATGGTTGATTTACTTTGAGCAGCCATTTTGACAGAACTGATGACAGAGCTGTCAAAGTTAATTTCAGTCCCTATACAAATTACCCAGATGAAAACATTTATGATGGATGATGGTTGATTTAGTTTGAGCAGCCATTTTGACAGAACTGATGACAGAGCTGTCAAAGTTTGGGGGGGAAAGGTCAAGGTTCATTTGGCGCATGCGCAGTAATACGTGCTCAGACCGGTTAGCGTTTACACTACGAAGATTTAAAGCGAGCCGGTCCTGGTACCGTTCCGAGACCACTTCACTTCAGTGGGCTAGATTGACACCGTACCAGGCTCGGTACGCGTACGTTTGACCCGTTTACACTACAAAAAAGTGAAGCGTGCCGTACCTGGTACCGTGCCTGGTACGCTTAATATTTGTAATGTAAACGGGGTTATAGTCTAGGGCCTTTAATAAACTCAAAAATCTTAAAGCGGTTAATTTGAGACACATTAATTATCTTAGAAATTGGCAGATTATTACATTATTACGCAAGTACAAAAATATTCATCGTATATTCCTCACTCTCTGACTCTTTGTTTTGTGCGTATGAAATACAGGACCGAGGAGATAAATGAGATAAATGAGATAAATGAAAAACGCAAATAGATTCAGATTTATGTGAGCGATGACGCGCGAGATCGACAGCGACAGCGTACCTTAAACGTGAAGGAATGCAATTTTCTCTTTACTCAAACAGCAGGTGCGTGGTAATTCATTTTAGAATTTTCAAACTGTGTGATAAAAAATACATCTAATTGAGAATTAATTAAGATGTTTAAAGATGGACAACTGCCGTCACCTAAATCAGATCTAAAAAATACATAGTCTTCCTTGATGTTAACAATAACTACAGAGAGAGAGAGAGAGAGAGAGAGGGAGAGAGAGAGAGAGCTTCGAGTTCACTAGATTTGTTCTTGGTGTCAATATCACAAAAAAACTTCTAAAAGGGACATTTTCAGTTCGTTCTTAAAAACAGAAAGATTTGACTCTAGACGTATATGTAATGGGAGTTGATTTCAAAGAAACGGCGCTGAGTATGAAAATGCACGTTTTCCAGTCTTACGTGTTACACAAGGGATCTTTAATAAGTGTTTATCAGATGAGCGTAATTTTCGACTTGTAGTATAAGGTACTATCATGTCTTGGATGTAGGTAGGTGATTGTGAATTTACAGATTTAAAAGTTAGTAATAAGATCTAGAAATTAATTCGCTGTTTAACGGGTAGCCATTCATTGATGATAATATGGAACAGAGATTACTGTCAAATCGTCCTCCATCTCGGTGTATCTTTAATCAAGTTATCAATGCAAAACCAAAAAACCCACATTAAATGTCAGTTTTGTTATTAAGTAATTAGGATGATATTTCCGCAACCTGTTGGTGAAACACTTAAGAACATTTACTAACAGCGTAATATGCACATAACCTTAATACGATTTACGTATTTTTCAATTAGTATAAAAACCAACAACATCAAAAGCCGCGAAATAATTAACTTTTCTGGCTGTAAACCGTGAACAACATCCGGTTGGCAAGAGTGTAAATTGGTTGAAGTATATAAGGAGTAAATTTCTAGCTGAACATCAATCAAGCGAGTTGTTTCACCACGAATAAGGTTTGTGAATTGGATAGCTGAATCACAAGAAACAAAAATGTTCTGGCCTTACTGGTTTCAAGTTCTAGGTGAGTGAACTACTTGACCTCTGTTGTCATATCTAATACTATTCATTCCTTAAACATATATTTAGATATAATTTAAATGATATACGGAAATATAATTTTTTAAATTAAATAAGTTATAATCGCTACACATGTTCTTGAGCTTGTGTTTCAAAAGTTTTTTCGTAGCATGACCTGATTTGTGTTAATCCCCATTTTTCTCGACGTCTATAATCAGGGCCCTGTTTCTCGAAATCTTAACTAAAGATAAAATCCAAATTTTAGTAGATACTTCAATTTTGATTGGCTAAGCACTAACATAAATCTAATATTATCTAAAATTTGGATTTTTATCTTAGTTAAAATTTCGTGAAACAGGCCCCCAAGGCCGGATTTTGTCCCCTGTCTCTCTACCAGAGAGGACCCAGGCTACAATTATGTAACCAAATGTAAAGTGTATAACTACAGCTGTGATTTGTCTGTTTTACCGTCTAGTTAGATATTTTAAGATGTGACAGCTATCAAAATTATTGTGAAGACGCTGTACGGTATTCCCCATGGAGCCGCGATGGCTCGGCGAGTAAGGCGATGGCTCGCTAACATGGAAGTCGCGGGTTCGATCGCGGTGTTGGCGGAGAAAGTTCATTGGGATTTTCCGGCGAGGTTTCCCTTTGTCATTGGTGCAGGACAAAGAATCTGGCAAAGGACATCGTATAGTCGGTCGGATGGGACTAAAAACTGAGGTTCCGCGTACGCATTGGTAAAAGATCCCTTACATCTTAAATACGATATAAGAATTAATTAACGATTTTTCATTTTCTGAATCGAATCTGAAGCAGCCAACTGTATGGTATGATAAATGAGGTAGGAAAAGTAAGTCGCTGCTGCGGAAAAACAATATGGTCCGTGTCAAACATATGGTCTATGTCCCAGGTCACGTAGAAGATGGAATTTTTGTTAAAGTTACTTTTCTTTTTACTTATAACATCATCAACAGTGTTTGTTTTAGTCGCACTTAGATGCATTTTCTTTACATCGAGATCAATCATACAATATACGCTTTGTACTAGCCCACTAGTTGTTCTCAATCCGATTAAAACACAGATCCGATTTCGTTTCGTTTTTAATAGTTCAAATTTCGTTTTACTTATCTTCACAACACTAGAATCTGGAAGAGTTGATATGTAATAGGCGTTCTAGTTGATGGGAGGGATTAGCCAATGAAACAGTCTGTTACAGCGAGTTCTTGGCGTGCTCTGCACATAACTGTGAGTAAACCCCTAGATACGTCAACGCTAATTGATTAATCAATGTCTGATGTCATAGGGTCAAATGCCGCTCGTATGACCCCTGACGCGACCTTCCAGTATAGGCCATCGAAAGTATAAAAAAAACGATCTGTATTTTAATCAGATTGATTCTTTGGGCGGTGGACAGGTAAAAACAGGTAAAAATAGCACGATCACTGATTTATTTTGATAATATTTGGATGACGGGTCGGAGTTTCTGAGCGAAAAGGGTAAAACACAATGATGTCTGACCGAGTTTATTCTATGGACGTCGCAGTTACTGACCAAAATGGTTAAAACAGAACAATGTCTGACCTAGTAATTTTCATATGTGGGTGATGATATTTCTGATTGTCTTGACGGTGGAGTTACTGACAAAAACGGGTAAAGCCATTATTGTATCTGAACGAGTAAATGTTGATGATATATGGTTAGTGGCTCCGTTTATTTTCTGTTACTCACCGGGTAAACTGTCTAAATGAGGGCCAACTTACAGACCGAAACGGTTTAAAACAGTTGTCCGAGTATAGTTTGATAAACGTTTAATCTTTGGTGTGCTCGATGTTTTAACTTACAAAGCAACCCGACTTTTGCTCCTTCTTGAGAATTCCACCTTTAGAAAGAGAGAGAGAGAGAAAAAAATGCGGGTTTAACGTCCACTCGACACAAACTAGGTCAATTCGGGACTAATATATGGTTCAATTTTTATTTCAATAATTCGTTTGCGGATAGGGGTCTTTTTCAGTGTGAGGATATCGGAGAAACCGGAGACAAACCACGAGGTTGGACAGACGACCCTACTCCTGACCCGTACAACCGGGGATTCGAAACCATGCCAGTTAACTGAATGACAGACCTTATGATACAGCCCCCCCCCCGAATTCTACCTTTAAATGTTCAAAATAAAACAATAGCGTTATATTAAAATCGTATGACACCTGTAAACCACATGTCGTACAGGTAATTTATTATATACCCCTTCCTGTTTCATGTTGTCACAGTTCACCACACCTGTGAACCCGACATAAAGCTGTTAAAAACACCAATAAAAATAATGTTAATCGCCATTATATACCCGGATGTACCTTACTTTATAAACATCAGATTATATAAACGTAAACAATACGTCACTGTCATCGGTCATACGTCCCATGTGCCTTACTTTATAAATATCAGATTATGTAAACGTGAGCAATACGTCACTGTCATCGGTTATACGTCACATGTACCTTACTTTATAAACATCGGATTATTTAAACAATACGTCACTGTCATCGTCATACGTCACATGTAGAAATATTATGGCCTTAACTAATAATTCTTTATAGATTCATAGTCAAGCAAAGTAACACCCACAACTATAGAAATCTATATGAATTGAACCAAAGGTTATATGCCATCTTCATGGTCAGGAATTCAATATGTCTGTTGACCAAATTTAGTTATAAGTCCCTCCCAGAGTGCAAGGTATAGGGTATGTCTATTCCATATTTGGACTCTTAAGACAGTGGTCAGTTTATGGTGTAAACCCATTGGGTTGTGGGCACTATAAAAGCAAGTGGGGGCTAGCATTTGACCGTTTGCGACCACGCTGATAACCAAGAAATTGATTCGAGATTTTTCAACAAGGCTTGCCCTTGGTGCAAGTAGAAAGACCGGACAAAAAACAGTGTCTAGTCGTTCGTATGAGACGAAAACTCGACATCACATGGACACGCTGGAGTGCACGTAAAATAACTAATAATTCTTTATATATGTCGAGCATTGTGAGAAGTATTTATTCTGGAAAATGTTTATTTTTTCTTTGCGTGTACGAAAGATGTAAACGGATTAGAACCCCATTACAAAACAGTATAATAATTGTTTAATATGGCGGTCATCCAGAGCAGATGACACACTGTCGATACACACCAAATGGAGACGTAACACGCATGGTGTCAAGCGCGGATCCAAGGGTTGCCCTTTCTTTCTCCAGGCTCAATATGGGTGGGTCGGGGAACAAAACGGTCGGACAAACCATCTGCAGCATCGTTCCGTTTTTTAAAATTTTTGAATAATCACTACGGAACTTCAATATGTAGATCTGAAATTTCTCTCCCATCCCCACCATCCACCGTCTGAAAATCTTGAATGTGACCTTGGATGTTAACTAAATTTATAATCTTACCTTTTCTTCTTCAGGGTTGAGCCTTGTGCAAAAGACACCTCGATTACAGTGGGTAGGAATAGCAGAAAATGGAGCAATACCGTCTACGGCCGTCCCAGTCAGGCCTAATGGCGCTTCCCTCTTTTACTTCTGCGAGGTGGTAGTTTCCTCGAAGGGGGTAAGCATACGTTTATTTCCATTATTTAAAGGACTCGCGTTTAATGTTTGACATTTGTTATAATGTGTGACGATTTAGCTGTTGGCGATGATACGGAAATATCTCATAAATGTTGAAAAGTATTGTGAATTTCCAGAGAGAGAGAGAAAGAGGGAGAGAGAGAGAGAGAGAGAGATCATATCGGGACTAACATATGGTACAGTTTTTATCCAATAATTGACTAGGGTGTATGGGAACATCGCTGCCACCGGGAAGCCCAATGTTGGCCGTGGATTTTGTACACGTTGGCATGAGCGTAAAAGAAGCATTGACAATTGAAATTCGAAATAAAGACGGAACGATACACCTAGGTCCAGTGTATACGCCGGCGTGGCAGAAAAGACCCTAGACAGATGGAATTCGAAATAAGAGTAGAGCGTGGTTCCGCTGTCCGGGCAAAACAAAATACAGATGGACCACTCCAGCAACTACAACAACAACATATATGAAGAATTGTTTGAAAGCGTCTCCTATAACTATTTCATATATATTATTTCAGGGACAAAGAATACCTGGTACACTGAAACCAACAGACAATTCCTGTAAATACGAAGTAGACGGTGCTGTTAAGAGCTCAACAGTGTTCAATGTTCTCGTTAACCCTAGTGGAGCCACTCTAAAGTGGAAATACGGTAATCCGAGGAAGGGTGTCCCCGCTGGTGCTGTAAAATGTCATGAAGGCGATAACTGTTATTTAGGACAAAGTATTTACGGTGATGGAATATGCGAGGAACTTCCCGGGAAAATCTTCACTGGTCAGACTCAGATGATTATGACCAACGACAAGAAGGTTTTTCGATGCCCTTTTAAAATGTACTTAGTGGAAAAATAAATGGAATCAAATTGTATTTATTTGGTATAAACATTGTGTAGTACACGGAGAAGTAAAAATAATTCGACCCGTCTCACAGCGGTAATGCGAAAGCCTTTTGTTAGCTCTGTAGATGATGACTGACATTTCAATTTTTGTTTTCATGATTTAAAAATTTGTTTTAGAATTTAATTTGCAGAAGATAAAAAAGTTAATATTGAGAGGTAATTAACTCAATCTGATGTCATCCCTGATTAAAACACAGATCCTATTTCGTTTCGTTTTTTTTTTATAGTTCACACTTTCGCTTTACTTGTCTTTACTACACTAGGATCTGGAAAAGTTGTTATATTACTGGCGTTTTGGGTTGAAGTGAGGGATAAGCCAATGAAACAGTCTACGACGGGACTTCTTGGCGTGTCATGCACGGAACTGTGGGTAAACCAATAGAAACGTCAACGCTGATTGATTAATCAATGTCTGACGTGATAGGGTCCAAAGCCGCTCGTATGACCCCTTCGAGTACAATTTGTCAGATCTTCATGTAGTGTAGGCCATCGAAAGTATAAAAAAAAAAAGAAACGAAATATAGATCTGTACTTTAATCAGATTGTATTGTGATGATTATAAATCAAATTTACACATTAAGTTGGCATTGACTTTACACATACACCCTGACACGCATACTGTCACCATCACACAAACACAATATCAATAGAATAGGGGAGAGTGTCATGTAGAATAAGAACTAATCAAAGTGTCGCACGTATTGCTCTAGGGAATATAGGGAATATAATTCTATTCTGTAATAACTTACCGTGACTATTACTGGCATATTTATATTAGATTGTAGAGCCTGTAATTGCGAACTAAAATGTTCTTTGTGAATAAAACAAAATTCTGACAAGGGATCTTTTACGTGCATTCTAATGTATACACGGGACCTCGGTTTTCCGTCTCATCCAAGGACTAGACGTAAGAGCCATATAATGGTGTAGCTGAAATGTTGATTTATGTATACATATTGCGCAGTCAGACAATGAATATACGGCAACAAAGAGTGACTTTCAAATGTTCTGGGACAGGGGCGATAACTGCGCATACAATTGATGAGCGAAAATATACTCAATTTAAATTATAGAGTGTTCAGTGTCCCACCCCATCCCCCTTGACGTAATTTGAGTTTGTGTCCACTTCCATCGACGACAAGATATTATTTTTCATTTTTAGCATGTTCAGTATATAAACATATAACATTCTGTCCCTGATTTTGGTTTTTACCGCCTGTTGGTTTAATTAAATCTGGAGTACTACAACAAAATAATACCTCTCGGGGTGTTTTTTAGAGCCAATGCATGTCAACTAGGTGATCTCAAAAATAACACTGTAGAAATATCTATTACAGCATATCTATTAGAAAATGTAATATTTTCACATGTATTGTGAATAACAGTTAAAGGCAAAGTTACACTATTTGTTTTAAAAATTGTTCTGTCTTTAAATTGTTTTGCTAGTTTTATAAGAAAAAAATTGGTAGTAAGAAAATGTAACGTTTCAAAGGCAATAAAAATTAAGTGGGGTATATATATATAGATCTCAGACTAGTGATTACCTCCCTTACCTCGGTACCAGTAGTTCATCTATTTATGACAATTCTATCTTTCCTTCTCGTCCTTTTTCATGGGAATTTTTGCTGACTTTGTGATCTGGATTCGAAGAAGAGTGTCGAATATCCATTTTCTGGCAGGTTTTGGCGAATATTCACGAAGGATCAGGAATCAAACTAGACATGGCAAAGGATTATCGCCTACCACGATGACGTCACGGCCTGTACATTCCGTTGACCGTTGGCCTAGCAAAAAATCGAAATGGTCAACCCCTTTCAAGATGTTTATCAGATGAATGTGGCATATTGGGCTATATGTGGTTATATATATTGAGAGCATCGGCGTGTTCTAAGATAGCAACGCAACGCGTGGAATACGCCCACACAGCAGTTTTGTCCCAAATGCCGTTTATCAGAAAGACAACTTGGATGATGAGCAAGTTTGATGACTCCGGAACGGAAAGTGGCAGAGGGCAAAATATGAAGAGGGTTTACCCTCTTATGACTCCAATGCCTCCATCAAATCTGAAAGACATTCGTTCAATAATAACTTCGATAGCAGTGACAAGATTCTCGGCAACGGGGGGGGGGGGGGGAATCAATAGGGTTCATCCACTCATGACCTTAAAGCTTCTCATCAAATCTGAAAGACATCCGTTCAAGAATGTAGCTTCTACCGTAGTTACAATATTTTTGGCAACGAGGGGATGAATAGGGCTCAATCACTCGTGACCCAAATGCTTCTCACCGAGTTTGACAAACATTCGTTATAAAACATAGCCTTCGTAGGCTAATATTCGTCTCATGCCTACAGTGCTTCACACCAAATTTGAAATGAATCCGCTCAAAACTGTAGCCTCGTTCGCGTTCACAAGCCAATTGTTGACGGATCGACAGGGTGATGACATAATGCGCCCTTGCCCACACTGAAATTTGAAAATAAATCTGTCAAGATTTTCTATAATAGGCGGGGGCTCGTGTATGGTGGTCTGAAACAGATATTCGCACAACCCAGAATATCGATAGGGCTTGTCATCTCATGCCCACAATGTTTCAAAACAAATCTGTAAAAAGTATAGCTTGCAAGATTGTTAAAAGACACTACAGGTTATTTCGTGTTACATCTTGCTACATTGGAATCACTTTCTGCCTTGAGCTCCGCTGGAAGGAGTGCAGGCATAGCATCTCTCCGTGTTGTCACTCCTTGGTTGATGGGGAAAATTGAAAGCGATCACAATTGATGAAGGATTGGCGAGGTGGTTTGTGGGCCCTTGCACCAAAGAGATCATGATTGGGTTGATCCGAAGAATAGATATCTGTGAGAGAGAACCTCAAACATACGACAACCATTTGACAATTCAATCTTTTATGCACCTTTGGAATTGTACGCTATATATTCGACGTTATATAAATGATAAATTATAATTATTATTATATGGTTGAGAGATTGAACAAATCTACAGATTTCCTATATCATGAGACTTTCGGATCAATTCCCCCTTCCCTTCAATGTGTATTAGCGTGGTTCCTTACTGTTACATAATCACAGGTTATCTGATGTTATAGACGCTTCCTGCCATCTTGACACCTGTTCGCTATCGACATCCCTGGAGTTCTTGGTCTATGTGATTATGTAACCTTACCTTGATGGCATGTCATATTTAAACTTTCTTTGATGATAAGCAAATGTTAAACCTGATATGACACATGATACATCAGCCAGATGTCTAATAAGATTCTTTTGTCTGGAATGGTTTATAAACCCAGATTAACAAACGAATCGACAGAGAGGTCCAGTCAGGACACGAGCGCGCAGGCTAACTGCGCCTAGGCATGGGCCGAGACGGAACGAGGGAGAGCGTATTGGAGTTGGCACATTTGTTGCAAGCTAGGGCATGGCTCCCTCAACACAAGCTAATTACAGAGTCTTAAGTTTTGTACATAATATGTTAGAAGAAGCCGAGAATAAAAGTATTATAAGATGTTAAACTAGTCTTGTCATCTGAACTTGATTAAAGAACTAATACTGTTACATATACATTACATCGTGCATTGTGACTGTGGTAGATAGGGGGAGTTGCATGATTGCCCTAGGATCTTCAAGGAAAAATCCCGCCTCACTCAACAGTGCATCCATATAATCATTAGGTTAAGACTTAACTTGAAACTTAATTCCAAAATCAAAATAATTATAATGTTATAATAATTACTAAAAAGGTATTGTTACTCGAAAAGAATAGCCTATAATCAATCGGGGTTAAGGTAAGCTAGGGAAAAAGAATCGGAATGTTTGAAACAATTAGATTGTATTTGGGCTGAGCAAAACAATTAATGACTGAAAGTTCTTATTTTTTCAAAGATTCCAATTTTTCCCCCGCCTTCTTACCTAAATTTCGTTTCGTCTTATATTGCCGTGGTTCTAAATTTCCGTGTTACCCTATATTTAGATTCCAATGGCTGCTGCCATACTGTTATGCAGAAGACGACGTATTTTTAAGAGCATGCTGTGTCCCAAATACTGACTCTAGCAAGATAAGCAAGGTCTTATTTTTTTCACTAAAATGTTTCTTTACCTTGAGGAGGAGGAGGGGGGGGGGGGGTGGATGGCCGAATGGTTTGCACGTGCTCGCTGTATCACGAGGCGTGCCATTGAGTCAACTGGCGTGGTTTCGAATCACCGGTTGTACGTGACAAGGAGTAGGGTCGCCTGTCCAACTTCGTACGTTTTCCCCGGGTCCCCCGATTTCATCCCACTGCTAAAGACCCCTACGCGCATGTGAATTATTGAAATAAAATTTAGCCATATCTTAGTCCCGAAATGAGCTAGTTTGTGTCGAGTGGACGTTAACACACGACCTATTAGCAGTAAATACTTGACCAGTAAAATTTTTTGGGAACTGAGAACATTTCGACAAGGAGTCAACAGGCTGTTCCTGAACGTACAGGGCGAGTACTTCACCTTGTCCAAGCGTCTTTGGCTATATAATTCATTAAAAAATCTTTCTAGGGTACGAAATCATATTGTTATTATTAGTAGTAGTAAGGTTAATTTTCTTATACCTGTCTATTTCATACTGGTTGATTTGCTTCAATGGAAATGTGATGGTACCTAACACGATCCCCACCTCAAACCGCAAAAGATACAATGTCTCAGGAACCTGGCATATCCCCACCCCCTGCTGCAAAAATTCATGGATAATGATAGAGGTATCTGCAATGGTTAATCACCCACTCCACGGAACGCATTGCAAAGTAATGACATGGGTTTTTAGTTCTACTTTTCTGCTTCGACTGGGCTAACGAAGACGATCACATGTCATATAATGTGCTATGAGGGCAATTTCTCACGGACAGCGGCAATACGAAGTCACGTATATGAAATTCCAACTGTCAAGGGTTCTTTGAGTTGAACGCCAATGCGTACACTAGACCTACTCTTATATCTAATACCATCGACCAAGGGATCTTTTATGACCTCGCTTTTTCATCCTATCCGAATATCCCTTGTTGCTAGACCCTCTAGCGGTGGATCAGTGGGTAAGACGCTAGCTCGCTAACAGAAGGTCCGTGGTTCGATTCCTTCTTTGATCGAGACAGTTCTTTACGATTGCCTTTGTCGGTTCCGCTTGTGCGTGGTGCAGTACGAAGGGCGTGTAGTCGTTCGGATCGGAGAAAAACGGTTCCGTTCACGTGGGCGTGTACATAAAAGACCAGTGACGGTTGTAATTCGATATAAGAGTAGGCCGTGGCCTTCATAGTCTACTATCTCGCAGATGCGTAGGTGGAAAGGACGCTGTTCGGGCAAAATGGTCCGTCATAGCACATTGCTCGTCTTCATGAATCCAGTGGTTGCAGAAGAGCAGAATATGTTATTTTCAAAATCTCCTTTGAAAGGACACTTAAACTTCGGTGAATAGGACCCTTCGGAACGTGCCGCCTCCGGAGGTAGGTCCCTTATTCGCCCCTGCTCAAATGTAGTGGATTCAAAGGGTTTACGTTTTTTCAGAAATATTTGAGCAAGCTATATAGCTTAAATAGGTCTAATTTTCTATCACAAATGGACCCTGAAACTATTCAATATATATCTATAAGTATATAGGATACAATAACACGTCATTTAGTTGCATATATACATACATATAAACATACAATACTATATAACTAATTGAATCATTTCCTTTGTCTTATCAGTCAAGAAACACCCATTAAAACTTCCCTAGTATATAAATAATATTAAACACTCTGATAAACAAACCAGTAAAATGTCTACCATGTGTATGGTTGCGATTATACTGTTTCTAAAGTTTCATTATATAACAGGTAAAGTAGCAACTGATTGTTAGATTTTTTGCAAGTTTTTTTTTTAGGAAAAAGAACATTCTCTATACCATCTGCAAATGATTGTTATGAACAGTTCAATGAATAAATAAAACTTTAAAAACGTTTCTGAAAATAACGCCATAGAAGAAAATATTTGATATCAAAGGAAACGTTTTTTATTTTTCAATCAATTTGAATGCGGTTTTCGCCAATTATTAGCTGTTTCTGATTAACATGTTTTAATTTCATACATTGTCTGGCCTCTACGACGTATCGGTATGACCTAATCTTAAACCCAAAATTGAAAACTGTGCACATTTCTTTTATTTTTGAAGATTTCGACTTGAAACTTTCAGAATCAGTTACAAATGGGTTTAATAAGAACAATTTTGTCGATTATCTCCATTCTGAAAACGAGGATAGATTTAAACCTTCTTTAATTGCCACCATTTTGAAAACTGAAGTAATTCTTAAAAACCTATCTTGTCCTAGTACAATTCTTTTTCAATTTTCACGAGCTTTATATTTTTGGAAACCAATCACTATTAGCACACGATCAACGGAATTTGAAATTTGACCTAGGATTTTTTTAAAGTGCCGTCATAATTTTCTTAAGAAAAAAGGTGTCAAACTATGAAATCGGGTACAGTGTTGATGCTGAA